ACATTTACGATGAAACACAAAAACGCTCGGAAGACAATGATCAGCTGCAACCTTTAGTGGTAAGGCTGTCTGTCAGTTTGGGACTCGATGGTATATAATCATAAGTTCCGACTGCTGAACGAACCCTAGACTTATATGACAGATGTACAGTACACGCCGATTTAAACGACCACCTGTTTGATACCATACTGCAATACCACCTACGCGCGAAGACAAGACAGATCGTTGACAGAAAGCTCTCAACAGCGGTCAATACAGTTGATAGCGTTGCAGCGAATCCGCATACATTTAACGACGAATGAGAGTTCAGCCTTGAGAGGAGAGGGAAGAGAGACTAGTAACAGTACGAAAACAGCCATGTAGGTTAAGGTCATGGGCAAAACAGTAGAAAAAACCTATGCAGTATCATCACGATATCGAGCAAATTCACCCCAAAATTCGAATAATGTCTTCCTTTTTTTAACAATTTACAGATCCCTACGCTGTCTATACTACTTAAAACAATCCAACTTAGCTGTCAATGATTACATTGATCGATAAGGATTTGGTTACAGTTTATCTGGCCTTGATGTTACAGTGGATGCTATTGGGCTAAGCGAAGGTTGCCTCCTTCATTAACCAGATGGTGTTCCAGCTTATCCAGGTTGACGACATATCGACAGTTTTGGTACATATATCCCTGCCGCTATTTTTCTTTTGGACATGCATAGCTAGTGAGATTGTTCTGACTATGACGACCTTCATAAGCTTTGGTGCTTCTTCCAAACTATATATATTTCAAAGTTGGAAACGAGAAACTTTAATCCTGTTAATATCATAACCCGATGGTTTAGTCGCTGTTGCTGGTTTTTACCCGTTCCTGGTTTCTTATTCACTCCAATGATTATTGGACTGAGGCCAATGCCGAACACGGGTTCTATATATTGTTACTGCGCCAAGTTACTGTGTACGACTTTAGCCTACTACTATTAACGTCACACAAGTGGACTCAGGATGAAATCCGTGTGGAGATCTACTCCACTCCACTCCACTCCACTCCACTCCACTCCACTCCACTCCACTCCACTCCACTCCAATAAGCAAAAAGCGTGAAACAAGATCCGGATTTTCAACACTAATATCAGTCAAACTAGTGCTTCAATGTGATGCTTCAGAGACTTGGCGTGTCACGAAAAGCACTTCAAACAAACTACAGACATTAATCAACAGCTGCCACCTACGCTCGCTCACTCGATACTGAAGATCATATGGCCAGAATAATAATAAGCAAGAAGGAAATCTGGTCCACTAACCAACCAAACAAACCACAACATATCGCCCAACAAATATGCAGATGAAAGTAGAGATGGATTGGATAGGTCATACAATAAGACGATTTGGGGACATCACGTGTCAGCCTACGCCAAGCATTCAAGTGGAACTCGCATGGGGAACAATGAGTTGGGCGTCCGAGGGTGACATGGAGGCGATGGTGTGTGAGGAAGAAATGAAAGGTCATGAGCAGTCGTGGAGCAAGATTCAAAGGACTGCAGAGAAGATAGTGAAATGGTGACGGGCTACTGAAGCCCTATGTTCCACTAGGAACCCAAGGGAGAAATAATAATAATACTGATTACACGAAGTAGTCGGTTTTGAAGCTGATAATCGAATCAAGGACGTGCGTTTCGTTGTGTTTAGGACGCGTCAGTTGAATGTACCGGTACCCCCATCTTATTAAAATAATTCAACTAAATTTCCAAAATCGAAAGGCTTACCAGTCCTAAAAGAATATGGGACTCAGAACATATAACAATTTAACTACACGTGGCTTAAAAGTAAATATCTTTAACTCATCCCTACTCAGTTCTCCCCTTTGTTTTTTTTTGTTTTGACTGGATGGATGATCTCTGACTATTTAGACATACTTCAAACATATACGAACCAATGAGTGATGAATAATCAAATCATGAAAACTGTTTGCTTGTGTAACGTGATACCGATTGGCTATTCGAATACTATGCAACTATAATCGATATGATGATCCTATAGGTTACATTTTCAAATGCTGATGTGACCGTACTGCAGTAAAACAAAAAATATATTTAATACGCCGTGATTGAACTGTGAACTTTTAGGATAGTTTGGGATATACGCATTACAGTTACAGGGTGAATATTAGCGTATTATTCGATTTCACTACAGTACAAAATACACAATTGAAGAAGCGTTATTCAATGGTATTTAGTTTTGAGGTAGAGTGATAATAAATTTATCCAAGTAGTTGAGTACAGATTCATGAACTGGACTGCAGGTAAGATGGTGGTTAAACAAATTTTACACTTTCAACTCGAGGCAATCGATTGGTAACCATTGAAATTTATAAATGGTTTAGAATGTTGACTTTCAACCAGTGGGTGATGGGTTCAACCACCACTCCACCTATCGAAATTTACGCAACCAAGTGGTAGTATCACTAGCCCTTACACTATAGGTGTGGCTCAGGGCCTATTGTATAAACATGCACAATGTTACCGAGTACACTTCGATTTTTACGGAATTCTGCAAATTTAAGAAACATTGTGTTCTTCCAAAATTCTTAAAACTCAGTTACACTGTTGGAAGCGGGATCATAGACCTGTTCAGGTGACGTGACTAAAGAAATCAATATAGGTGAGTTTCATTCCGGCGATTCAAACAAATTGTTACGCTCCTAGACCGTAAGAAGCAGCCTGTAGACGAATAATATGGATGGAAACTGGAATCATTGTGTGACGTTTTACGTTGCCAGCTAGAATGAAGATACAAGACCAGACGATAGACAAAAAGATGTCAGAAATACACTACGAAGGCGTAGACACGAAAACCAGGTTCTAAAGTGGATAACAAAATGCGATGTAACGCTTAGGCTAAAGATAACAATCTGACAGACTGGCAAAATCAACGTAAGTGCTCATACACAGGTCCACCGCTCCAATCTGGCGCACTTCACATTAGTATACGAAGACCAGGTGGATGGGAAAGGAGTTATGTCAAAGTAGATAAAGTTGTGTGAGAGAATATAGATTGATGCAAATATTCAAGTTATAGAAGAGTGAATACATCTGCACCAGTGACACCGATCTTCAACCATGTCACCAACAGTTATCAACCACTCATTCTTTTCGTCTCCACAACCCCAACGGTACGGTCTACATCTCCCCACACCACTCACATTAACAGTAGAAAACTTCATCAATTGATGCGATATCTTCGTCTGGTCACCCTCAACCGTCTTCCAACCTAATGCAGTTCCCCTAGCATGGCACGTAGAGGTAGAGGTAGGTGGTGGCTCAGTATGTGTAGTATATGTCCAAGCCATCTCAATCGACGAAGTTTCACAACTTCATCGATCGACTTGCCTGTCTTGTCTAGTACCCTCCATCTGACTTCAACATTGCACCCACGATGATTCCATGCTATGAAGACAGTTGTGATTAAAACCCTTGTAATCGCTTCATTTATTACTATTTATCCTTTGGGTTACTAGTGGAACACTGGGCTTCAGTAGCACGCCGCCATTTCACTCTCTTCTCTCCAGTCTCCTTAACCTGGATTCACGAATGCCAGAAGCTTACATTTCTTCCCCACACACCATCTCCTCTATGTCACGCTCACACGCACAACTCGTCGTTTCCCATTTGGGTTCCACTCAATGGACTGGCCTGATGCATGATGTCCCCGAATGGTCTTCTCAGTGTATGACCAATCCATCTCCACTTTCTACTGCATATTTGTTGAGCGATAGGTTCTTGTTTGGCTTGTTGTCAGGTCAGAGTTCTTTGTTGCTTATTCTTTCTGGCCATCTGGTAATCGCTTCATATCATCTACTTTTAACGGCCATGTCTCACAGCCGTACAACAGGACAAAACGGACTGGAGAGCCGAATATTTCATCAGTACCACAGATGATAAATGCTAGATGAATCATCTGTACTCTCTAGCTGAGATCTCATCAACAACCAGTCTACACCTAGATCATATCACAAGAAGCCTAATCTAAAAGTGCACACTCCAATACACGGCCAAAACCAACAATCAGAGATTTTACAAAGCAGTTCCATGTTTATATATAGTCATTATTATTATTAGTCCCTTGGGTTCCTAGTGGAACATAGGGCTTCAGTAGCACGTCTCCATTTCATCCTGTTCTCTGAGATCTTTTGAACCTGGTTCCACGACAGCCCACAAGCTCTCATTTCCTCCTCGCACGATCTCCTCCATGTCACCCTCACCACGGACGTCCAACTCGTCGCTTCCCATGGGGATTCCACTCGAGTGACTGGCCTGACGCGTGATGTCCTCCGTCGGCCTTCTCAGTGCATGGCCAATCCATCTCCACTTCCTTCCAGTGCATATTTGTTGCGTGATAGGTTCTTGGTTGCTTTGTTCCCAGAGCTCCTTGTTGCTTATTCTTTTTGGCAATCCATCTGATCTTCAGTAGCGAGCGTAAGCAGTTATTGATGAATGTCTGTAGTTTGTTGGAAATCCCTTTCGTGACGCGCCAAGTCTCTGAACCATACAAGAGCACTGACTTGACGTTGGTGCTGAAAATCCGTATCTTATTCCGCATGCTGAGTGCAGAAGATCTCCACACTGGTTTCAGGCTAATGAACACCTGTCTTGCTTTTCCGATTCTGACTTTGACGTCCTCGTCCGTCCCGCCTGTAGTTGAGACAGTGCTTCCTATATAAGTGAAGGAGGTTACTTCCTTTAAGTTTCTCCCGTTGACGGTGATTGGAGTTTGTTGTTGTTGTTGTTCGAGTTGTTGGTGCGGTAGCTTCATCACCTCTGTCTTCTCTATATTCACCTGAAGTCCCGTCTTCGCTGCCTCTTCTATCAACTTGTTAGTTTTTGCCTGCAGATCTTCAAGTTTATGTGACATATAGTCAACCTAGTGAATATAAGTGTATAAGCAATTACACCCTGACCTTCGAGAACTTCTCCAGCCATTAAATTTATTGATACACAATACCATACTAGACAGCGTATTTTTACGTATTCTTTTAGATGAATCGGATGGATTGTTATCATTAAATTATTCAATTGTTGAATAAAGAATAAATAAATAAATAAATAAATATATCTTACTATTCAATGAATGTATCAGTGATTAAAACAAAGAATTTCACTAGAAGAACAATCATTTACAATTTAATAAAATACCACCAAAAGATACATACACCTACAAAATCATAATATGTTAACAAATTCAAGAGAACAACAAGAAATGCCCAGCAATCAATCAGTAAATGTTCAATGACATCTTTGAATATACCCAATTAATATTATTGTTATTATTTATTATTCCATGTTATCAGAATATTTTGTGTAGATATGAAAAACTTTCAAACATGATAAATAACTTGATAGGTAGTATTTATTGTTATATATATATATATATATATATATATATATATATATATATATATATATAGAATGTATATGAATATGAAAGTAATTGATGACAACAACTAAAGCAGTAAAACAAATCACTGAACAAATAGAAGACCAAGTATTGAACAAAAGCATATAATAAACACTACACATTCCATACTAATCGAATCAAGCTGTTGACAATAGGAAAGAAGGATGTGAAGTGTCGACACTACAGCTTAGCCAAACACAGAAGATGGTATTAAGTACACAAAAAAAGAAAAAACAAACAAGCAAACATTGAAAGTAGATCAAAACTCTGATTATCACTAGATGATTAGCGTTATCGGCTAACATCTTCTTTTCTATATGTACACAGATATTTTGGTTAAGAATAATGCCCCCCCCCCTACACACACACACACACACATATATATAAATGCAAAATTTTAAGAGAAGACAAATGACCTTAAATTACGATGATGGGACGTGGCAACGGCGCAGCGCAGCGGTGAGTTATGAGGTGTTGTTCAAAACAATAACGTTAAAATGAGAGAAATCATCCTTTCTTTTTCGAGGGTAAAACATGTTGAACTGTTGTTATTATCACGATCAAAGTATATGCTGAAAAACATCATGATTTTTTTCTATACACACACACACACACACCAGATAAATGAGAAAACTAACTACTTGATTGAAGAATATTGATTGTCTATCAAAGAGGTAGATTGTTAATACTACTGTCATCATCATCATCATCATAAGTAGTAGTGATGATGATCTTCAAGAAATATACAGAATGATCGACTGTCTTATACAACAACAAACATGAAATGTATCGCTTAACTTATGCATAGAATAGACAGAAGAGAAACAGAGTAGAGTGGAGTGAAGTGGAGTGAAGTTGAAGTGAAAATATTACCTAAATACACTAATTCATCAGATTGTATACAATGAAAAACACACTAAACAACAATTTACTTATAGAAACTAGACATACACCATAAAAAGATGAATAAATAAATATATTTCAAATGTGCTATGATCCATTTGTGTTGACAAGATTTGGAATACGCACATTTGTACAACCCGCTAGTCTTCTATCATTACCGCTTAAATGATGACCATCATTGAGATTTCCAACAGTTGTTGGATTCACAACAGGAGAGATAACAGTAGAAACAACAGCTGAAACAGGTGACAAACTATTATTGTTATGATTATTATTATTAATACTATTCCCTACACCATTTTTTGTCACTTTAGTATGACTACCGGCAATAACAACATCAGGTGGTTCAACATTCTCATAAACATTAGTAGCAAGATGCTGAAAAACTGCTAATAATTGAGCAAATGTCGGTCGAGCATCTGGATTATACGCCCAACAATCATGCATAATAGCAAAAACATCATCATTAGCTAAATATGGTCTTGGTAGACGAACACCTTCTTCAATTTGACGTAATACTTCAAAACTATCCTGATCAGCATATGGATGTTCACCTAATGAAAACATCTCCCATAAACATATACCAAATGACCAAACATCACTAGCATGACTAAATGTTTTATAATATATTGATTCTGGTGCATACCATTTCACTGGCCATTTACCACGTTGTGTAGCTTTATAATAATCGGATTCAACGCCAACAGCACGAGATAAACCAAAATCAGATATTTTAGCACATGAATGATTTGATAATAGAACATTACGACAAGCTAGATCACGATGAACAAATCGAGCAGATTCTAGAAAACTCATACCACTTGCTATCTGAAATTTTTTTAGGAAAAGAAAATAATGTATATACACACACGTGGCAACTGGATTAGTTAAGAAAATAAGGCTACATTAAAAACTAACATATATCGCTGCTTCGATGAACGCAATCAACAAGAAGATGGTGCTCCATTTAGATTTCGCACTTTTTGACACTCATCAGCTAGATGTGTATCTTTAACCTCTACGTAACTGATGTCTTGCTTTAGATTCAGACCTGTATCACACACAGTGCTGCTTATAACCAAACAACATGAAGTTGGTTACTCTGCAGTGACTAAACAATCTTTTCCATCATTCTTATGAACAAAAAAGTTTAAAACTACTTTTAAATAAACTTATTCACAAACTTAATCTTGTATGTAAGTGTGTGTATAGCTGTGGATGATTGATTAAGAGGTGGATGACTTTCAACAAATAGGTCGCTAGTTCGAACCCCATCACACTTACCTACATCTGGATGGTATCCTTAACTCTGGTATCTTTATACGTATGGTTTATTGTCTATTGCATGAAAACGTATGTGGTTACTAGGTGCATTTCAATTGGATCGACATAATCTTATCCTACAATGCGGTACTCAGAACTCACTTAGATGAAAGTATCGTTATCAACAAGGCTATGGACAGAAAATCGAGATAAATACTAACGTAGATTGTTTTGCTAAGGCCTGAAATCGGTGATAATGACACAGATGTATACGCTATTTGTCATCTTCAAAGCTTTGATGAGTATTGTTAACCTACATCGACTTATACTTCTCTCTCCCACTTCCTCTCTCTCATGTCATACACTTTTGTCTAATTTAAAGTGTCATTCACTTTCTATCTTTCCAATGTAATAATAAAGCAAATTAAATTCATCTCCTTTAGTGTCAAGTTCTACATTGATTTATGTGCCTGTGTATCTCTATCTAGCTATCTTCAAGTTACAGATCTTTGTGTAGGCAGTGCACAAAAACATAAGTTGAATGTAAATATCGTTTTCACAAAGAAAAATCTGTGACTGACTAACTCTTACAGTCTGACAATATCATCAACATCAGAAGCATACAAAAGAAACCAATATGACATAGTAGGACAGGAACTCTTTTTGATGAAGATATATTTTCAGGGGGGGGGACAAAACAAACTTAATGGATGGTACATCAGTGACCTCACCAATGCGTTGTGGATCATTGGTTTATGCACATGACTTTCAACCAATGACTCATGGGTTCGAGAACCGCTCCACCTCATAAGGTTTGGACAGTCAGGTAGAATATCACGAGCCTTACCGCAGGTGTGGCTTATCATCTACTCCACGAAAATGGATAATGTTACCTCGATCGATAGCTCCAAACTTCATGTGATGGTCGGGCATGTATATCACAATGACCCAATGAGCTATGTTGGTGGAACGCTTGTTCCCTCGAGGTCTTACAATACCAGAAAGATCTGTTGGATAGTGATTAGACAAAAAACAGTTATGATTATGGTGTAAACTGCTACACTCCGATAGGGTCTGAGGGCGTGGCAGCAGTAAGCTGTTTCCCTCCAATGACCAACAGTGCCACGCTGGTGCTGCCTTGCCTATGGGAGAGTTAGAAATGGTCGCCCGGAAAAACAGTGCACTCCCACCCCTCGTATCATACCAACCCCTGCAAAAAAGACTTATAGTCAGATTCAAAAGCAGAAAATCAACATCTCAAAATAGCCGAAACGCCGCGTTTGACCAACCTCAAGTAGATCTCCCTTGCACTCTGCGATCACACTAATCCTTTTTCAGGTAGATCAAGAAGAAATAGCCTTTCGTGGTGTGGGCAATCGGGAAGTATCAATCGCTCCAACACTTCTAGTAGTACACAGGACGCAAATAAAAATAATCCATCCTCCTTAACTATGTCTCCTCCTTTGCTTTCACCTCCTCATAATAATGTTAGGCCTCTGACGTCTTACCCAACCTCTCACTCTGCAAACATTGTCAACGATTAAAGCCATCGAAACCTTATTTTTAGTCCCCTAAGACTCCACCACTGATTTCATGTAGAAGCCTTCAACGTTTTAACTCTATGCCAAATCGGACACCAAGCACTGCTCGCCAAAACTTTAGGATTTCTAGGCATTGGTGTGTCTGAAACATGTACATAGGATCAGAGTGTGGTTATTACATTGACTTTATCTGGTTAGTGCAGTAAATATTCGAAATATGCTTTACGACTAGCCGGAGACCAAATGGCTAGCTCTCGTGAACTCGCTCATGTAGGCATAGTATTCAGCTGTAGGGCGGAAATTGTGCTTCTGGACTGGATATTGGTCAACAGTCATCTATGTAATATTTGACTGAATGGATCCATAAACACTAGAAAACATTGTGAGACTGGCTGACTCGCTGAAAAGGTTAGTGCAAATATTCAAGTTTTAGAAGAAACCCCGTGTGAATACATCCGCACCATTGTCATCGATTTTCAACCATTTCACCAACAGTTGTCAACCACTCATTCTTTTCGTCTCCACGACCCCAACGGTACGGTCTACATCTCCCCACACCACTCACATTAACAGTAGAAAACTTCATCAATTGATGCGATATCTTCGTCTGGTCACCCTCAACCGTCTTCCAACCTAATGCAGTTCCCCTAGCATGGCACACAGAGGTAGAGGTAGGTGGTGGCTCCTTATGTGTAGTATATTTCCAAGCCATCTCAATCGGCGAAGTTTCACAACCTCATCAATCGACTTGCCTACCTTGCTCAGTACCCTTTGCCTGACTTCATCACTGCTCATACGGTGATTCCACCAAACGTAAGTAATGATACGAATACACCTGTGATCAAAAACCTGTAACTGCTTCATAGTAAATCAGAACTGTGAACAGTATCAAAGTAGGTTACTGAATAACTATGAGCATAGCTTGACACCAGCGTGATACACACAAGCGCAGCAACACACACACACACATACAAAACAATGACTTACTTGCATACTCCAATTATATAATTCAGGTAGTTGACACTTTTCAGGATAATCCAACAAGTAATCCAGTAGACTGCCAAGTTCAGCTAATTCTAATATCATCATTAATCGTTTATTTTCACAGACACCATAAATTGTTACTATATGCGGATGGGATAACTGCATCATAATTGTAGCCTCTTTCAAAAAGTCCAATCGTTGTGATGGTTGAACAAGAACCTTAAAGTAATGGAAGAAAGAATATATAGATGAAATTATTCAGTATTTATAAAACTAACGAAAAGAAGGTATGTACAATTTTAGGTTCAGTGGGTTTATGTATTTGACTCTTATTCCATGAATCATCAACATCACTCACTGAGGTGCAGATATATATCCACCTGAAGAGTCCTAAATGGGCTGAAACGTGCGTCAAGCTGGATTCCTATGCTAGTCACCAACATCAATATAACATCATGAATATTCAGCAGTATCAAGGTATCCGTATAGGAGCCCATCTGGCAACAGACGTTAAGCAATTCAGCCGTAAACAGCAACAAAAAATTACAAGTATCAGCTTGAAGTTTATTCGATATCCTGAAATTTCACCAACTTTACAATAAATTTGGATCACAGTCAAACGCTGTGCAACTATGACTGATTTACATAGTGAGCTTGCAACCAGTTAGTACTGCGTTCAAACCTACTTCCATTTGCCAAAGTTCGGACATATACACAAGCAATGTATCCCAGTGAAACATGGAGGTCAAAGATCGAAGAAAGTTTCAGATGTTCGAACATCTTCACCTTCATACTATACGGTAACCATGATGATGACTTCACAGGTGTAAAAGAAATCAGATCTCCTGATCGATGTCCACGTGAAAACCGACTCCAATGGTCTGGACGTATATACACATCTTCTTCATCTTAACTGTCACATTGAGTTTTAGTATTGTTTTAATCCCCGTATTCTTCTCTTCTGGTGACTTTCTACTAGTTTTGACTATAATCTAGCCAATTTTTTTTTCAATTGCTCTCTTGTGACGTTGTATCCTGACGGGAAGTCTAGCAACTTGGATTATAATACAGTAATGTCAGATTCCGTGCTGATACTAACTGACTAACATGAACACGACGGGTATACATGATGACCTGGTGAATGAATCTGGGCATGTTTTTTACGTTACATTACATATTATTACATACGGTAGGCGGTTTTCACTGTAATTAACAATCGTTGTAATGTAAAGTCATGTAACTCAACCCGGTACATGTCTATGCACTGGACAATCAGCCACACTTGTTTTGTGATAGTTTATGATACTACGCGACTGTCCAGGCCACACTGCATGGAGTGGGAAGTGAAATAATCGCCTAGAAGCAAGACGATGAGAGCTCCGTATTTAACAACCCAGCTCAGAGAAAACAATATACCTAAGACCATTCACCTGAGCTACAAATATTCGCCATCATTTCAATATCCACAGCCTTGGTTCTATTGTGCTCCCTGAGCTGGATTGTTTAATCCTGAAGCCTTTCTAGACGCCATCATCACCACATCATAAGACACAAACCTTTCAGAATGCACAAAAACTTAACTGTTCAAGTCTCATGGAAATCATCCACCTTTGTATGACAACATACACTTCCAATTCAACAGCAAACATATACAAACAGATGAAAGGAACTCCAATGGAATCATCAATAGCTGGACTAATTGCAGAAACAGTAATGCAAAGACTGGAAATCATCATTCTACCTGTGATTAAACCAAACATTTCGATTCATTATGTAGACAATACTTTTGTCATCATTAAAAAAGATGATATAGAAAAAACACTCACAGTCTGATCAACAACATTTTCAATGACATCAAATTCATAATGGAGAGGAGGATTCAAACAAACAACTACCATTCCTGGATGTTTTAGTCAGTAGAACAAATGCTGGAAAGCTGGAAACCTAAGTGTACAAGAGACCAATACACACTGACCACATCCTCAACTACAGTAGCAACAACACAACAACACACAACATTACTGGCACACAGACTCTTTTGAAAAGAGCGAGAACACACTACAGTACAACAACTTCACGGAGAAACGAAGAAAATTACTTGATGTCCATCTTAAAGAAGAATGGCTACCCACGAAACTTTATCAGAACATGTCTGTCTATCCCGTACATCATCAACTATAAAGTCATCCACAGAAATCAATAAGCTCATCATCCTTATGGTAGATAAGGAATATATCAAAAATCATGACAAGATTACTGAGACCACTTGGAATTAGTATGGCTCATAAACCAACAAATTCCCTCCAAACACTATTATGCAGAGCGAAGCATACAACAATCAAAGAAGACAAACCGAATATCATTTACAAAATCTGCTGCAATAACTGTAGTCAACACTACACTAGACGAAGTGGTCGCCCTCTTCACCTTCGTCTACATGAACACCAATTAGCTATTCAACGTCATACATGACATTTCATCACCTATTTCAATGCATGTGGATAACAACTATGTGCATGAATTGAATTTCGACAATGTAGAAATTTTGGATGGAGAGAGGAAACACAAAGAATATGAGAGAATTCGTAGAAGCCTGGTATTCAGGTCAGCTAGTCAGTCAGTAATCAATAGATGTATAGACATAGACCCAATCTATCAACCCATAGGAAAAATGATAAACAACAAGAAGGTCAGAGGTGAAGTAGAGGAACAGCCAACAGGAAAATCTATACACAAGAAACAGTTACAGAAAACAACCAATCACCAACCAGTTGGTCAAGGTACGCTAATAAATCGCTGACAAAGAGATATTGACAGGTTACTTCATACTGAAGTTAGTGCTGATGATGTCGTCTACGAGAAAGATGATGAAAGCTCCACAATTAAACAACCCAGCTCAGAGAACATAATACAACCAAGGCTATCCATCTGAGGTTCAAATATTCTCCACGATCTCAGTATCCACAGTCTTTGAAAATTCTAACGATATATGATATCTGTGCCCCCTATGCTCAATTGCGACTAATATCAATAATAACCTACAGTCTTCTACTTCGATTTTACTGACTAGCGTACAATCTTGAAGGCCACTTTTTGTACTCAACTCAACTTATACTCTGAGATGTCATGGATTGATACAATCTCTTAGTCTGGTTAAAACTTGGCATTTCCGCAAAAATTCACCCTACTCCACTTAATTAACTTTATACCTAAGGGATAAACAATGACTCCATGTACACACCACACAAGTTAATACACACAATCTCATCCAACTGACTTACCTCTCTCTCCAATGGATCCTATGGTGGTTTCACAACACATGAGTAATGCTGGTGAAAACAACAATATCTGAAGTCTTCTTAAATCTCCTACCATTAAGGATAGAGTGTTCCCTGTTTATATAGTAATAGCATACAAAATGCTTCAATACTTTTTGCAATGACTTGAATATTGATTATCATTGTGGCTATCTGAGATAAACGTGGTTTGGTAGACTAGTATTTATACATACTAGATGATAAATGAAGGTGAAATGGAAATTTAAATCGCAATCAGATTCAAACCAGCGACCACCGGGGTTTCCGATCCGATGCTCCACCAACTAAACTACGAGGTCAAATAATAGTCGAACAATAATCAATATGATGCTTCCTCTCTCTGATTCACCTAAACTTGGATTGAAATGAGAAGTACTGACTAGGCAGCTAGTGTGAATACAATCAAGCGATAGCAACGTGTCACGAATTCTCACGGTAGTCAGGGAAAACTCACCACGGTGATTGAAGTGAAATAAAAATCTGGTCAGCAGTCGAATCTTGTAGCTAAATTGGTAGAGTATTGGATCGGAAACCTGGTGGCCGCTGGTTCGAATCCGGCCAAGGTTCAAATTTCCACTCCACCTTTAATCATTACCCAGTATAAAGACTTGAATATCAATGACAGACGAAATCAATGTAGAACCTCGCACATCTAAATGCGTCGGTTCAATTTGCCGCAGTTCAAAGTAGTATACAAAGAATAGGTGGATAGAAAAAGGGTGATATCAAAGTAGACAAAATTGTGCGATAGAACAACCAGTTTGAAGGTAAAGCTTACTGAAAATATCTAGGCTTTAGAAGATATCAACCAGGTAGTGTCTACACCCCCATACACAGCTCAGGTCAAAAGTCAGATAGACTTCATAAACTGATATCACATATTGGTCTAGTTCAACGTAATTAGACTTCAGCCAATATAAAAAAAAAAGTCGAGGTAGGCGATGACTTGGCATGCACAACATACATCCAAGCCATCTCAGTAGCTGAAGATTCACAACCTTATCACCTGACTTGCCTTCCTTGCCTAGTGCTCTTTCACTCGGTGATTCTACCATATCCCAGCAATACTACAAAGACATCTATGGTCAAAAAAACAACCTGTAACTGTATCTTCCTTCTACTGTTAATAGCCAAGTAATCGATAGCTGTTTCCCTCTTTCTAACATAAAAAATAGCCATAGATACACATATTTCATAGCATAAATATCAATTACTTTATCAGAGTAATTAATTAATTACTTAATAAATAAAAATTAATGATATATCAAATGATTATCATTGCCTTTTTCGCATAAAAGTGAATCTTTCTTTAGAGATATTCATGATAATAATATCTTAATTATATACTAAAGTATAAAATAATAAACATAATACAAGGGCAACATTCCAGGCTCTATCTATTTTGTGTCTGGGCGCTCTTCACGCATTTAACACCTTACCAATAACATATATATATATATATATATATATATATATATATATATATATATAGACATACAATCCTATACATCATATTGAATATTTAACTAAAAACGGTTATAGTTTTACATCAATGATAATTCGAAATCGAATCCAGTCAACTCATGATGATTCATTATCATAGAACTAGCCAAAAACTAAATTAGACATAACAGTCGACTAGCTTGATTTCACCGAAATATCTTCAGTTGAATCCTTCCTTCCTTCCTTCCTTCCTCTCTCTCTCTCTCTCTCTCTCTCTCTCTCTCTCTCTCTCTCCACTAACTTTATACCTAAGAGATAAACAGTAAATCAGTGTGCATACCACATGACCCATGGTTTTTGCCTCATAATACTCGTCATAGCAACGCATATCTACAACTAAGGTTCAGGATTTTGTAGTCAACTGGTTCCAACTATACAACATCTCTCTCTCTCTCTCTC